TGCTATAGGGTGTGTGCGCTCGCCAGAAAGACAGAGAGAGACAGAGAGACAGAAAGTGAGAAATCACCCCCCAGGGGGATGGCCACACCACAATCCCTTCTCCTCCATTCTTCCCTCGGGACCTTGGACACGCACGCACATGTGCCTGGCGTGAGTTTAAGCCACCGGGTCCAGGACTTGAACCACGGTCGACTACATGGGAGTCCAGCGACATAGCCATTACACCAGCTGCTGGTCCTGGGTTTTGCTCGCTCGAGCCACGTTGGCCCCCAGTCCCACCTGGCCCCAGACCTTGTGTCTCTGATCGCTCACCGCTCCCCCATGCCCCTTCATTCCCTCTTCTCTTGATGTTCTCTTCGACTTGCCTGTGAGTGTAGGAGCCAGTGGGAGGTCACATACGGCCTCTTGGCTTCATGCCGGTGTTCGGGTGGTGGCCACTCTCCCCCAGACTCGGGTTTCGGCTTGCTCCCCAGTGTGCTGGTTCTGGGCGTCGGTGAGACCTTTGAGTTGGGGCCTCGTGGGTGGGGATTGGCTCATGGAGGCATCACTCTCAGGGGTGGATTAATGAGAGACTCCGTGAGTCCCGGCGCTGTGGGACGGGCTTAGCGCTCACCAGCGAGGGCCGTCCTAAAGGAAGGGCTGCCCAGGTCTCTCTCCTCACAAACCTGCCGCCCTCTGCTTCTGTCTGCCACGTTGCACCGTAGGCCGGCCGATGCCAGCCTCGCACCTTTGGCCTTTTCAGCCGGTGGAGCCATGAGTCAAATAAACTCCTATTGCTCTATGGACCATCCAGTCTCAGGGGTGTCTGTTAGACCAAGCCCGTTACCTTTGGAGTAACCAGCATTTCCCTCCTAGGACCTCCATGAAATGCTGCCATCTACAGAGAGTGCTTCGAGACAGATACAGTTTGCTCTGGGGACTCCACTGAGTTACAGAAGTGCACCTCCTGCTGCGGTAATCTCGCTGGTGACTGACAGCTGGTCGCCTTGAGAGGGGACCCTTCTAGAGGTTTCTGCGATGCTGGTAGCACAAACACACAGTCAGTGAACATCTGAGAAGTGGGGCCTGGTAAACCATCCAACCGCCTTTCCATCCGTGTAACTGGTAGTATTACCGTGGGCTGTTGTCATTGTAAGAGTTGCTGTTTGGTCGCCCCGTCCATTTTCCTGTGTCCAGCTGAGGGACCAGAGATCACTGATCACGTTAGAGTGCAGGGCTTCGGCCCGGACCGCGTCCCAGCTCAGATTTCACACTTCATGCCAAACAGAGCCCTGGCTCCCCCGCTGGGCTAAGTCTCCCAAACGTTCATGGAAAATGGATATGAAGAAACCCTGCGTGAATTTCAGGAAAAAATTCTGCACCCAAATAAACCCATACTTGACCTCCATTTTCCACGATGGTTTGGAAGTGCCGTCGTGTGTCGTTCGCGCTAATTCTAGCTCTACCAGGTTTGTTTTCATAGGGGAATTTTCCTGAAGTACTTTTACACTCACAAGCAGTTGCCCTGTGGGCCCCTCCCGTCTTCCCCGGTGAGAGCACCTGTGTGACCACAGGGCGACACCGGGACCAGGACATCGATTCTGGCACTGCGCTGCCGATCCAGGCCTCAAATGTCACCAGCTTAACTAGTTATCGCTTTAATTCGTTTTTCTGACATAGACCTAAGAGATATTTAATGGCCAAAGAACCAACGTATCCTGTCCAGTTCTTAGGACAGCAGACTCTGAAAAGGGACTCCCCGTTTCTCCAGCTCTCTGCCCTTGCCCAGGCTGCGCATGGGTGAGAGAGCACCTCACCCGTCAGGAAGCCTCACCGGATTGAGAGTTCTTGCCATCTCTGCGAAGCAGCTCTAAAACTGTGCAGGAGTCTCTGCCGCGAATGCCTACTCCATTCTCACTAGGCTTACCACATTTTTAGTACTGGAGTCTCTAGTTAGGTATTTGCATCCTTTGGTAGTTGATATGACACTCACGAACACTTTTTCCTAATTTTTTTAGGGTCGTGGTATGCTCTTTGAGCCACGAGGCATGAAAATCAAATTCTCTACCCTGTGAGTACAGGTGTAGGTGTTACTGTGAAAGAGGGACCCTGTCCTGTCTGATAGTTGAGAAAAACCTTGGAAATTGGAGATCTGGGAGGGAAGAGGTGGTGAAAAGGGTGCCCACCACCCAAACCAACCAGGCGAGTGAGTGTGGAGCACGGATTGGGCATGGGTAAAGCACGTGGTTCTGTCTTGAAAACAGAAGAGGTTTTCAGTTCCTGGAAAATTTCCCTCTTCCATGAGAAAGAGACAGAGAGAGCTAGAGAGAGTGTGAGACAGGCACCCCCAAAAGGACCTTTGTGCTGAGATCCACCACCTGCCGCCCGGCCCAGAACACGGCAAGTGCACGAGTCCCGTGTGCTCAGGAAGGCCCCAGGAAGGGACAAGGCCTTTTCCATGTGAGGTCGATTGCATTAACCACTGACCACCAGCCGTCCCCTGGCCAGTTTCCGTTGCTGCTACATTGCCAAGAACCTGCCACTGGCTGAACGTCCCTCTGAGCTGCTTCTCAGACGAAGGGGCTTAGAGACTGTCCAGTCCATTTTATTTCCTAAATATTTTTAGCAGCACAATCTTTCTTTTCAGTCTAGATTGTGCTAAGAGCACCGCCATAATTAAAACACGTGAGTGGCTTTCCTTTTAGTACCAGTTCGTGTGCAGTGGCGTCTGTGACGTGGGCCTGTCCCCACATAGCCAGGAAGGACCGATTCTGGTGAAACAAGCAAACGCAGGGCGAAGTCGGACCCTGCGGGTGGGGCTTGCAGCACTCTTATCTCAGCACCGAACTCCTCGCTTCACGTGGCTGTCAGCCATCAGAAGAAAACTTCGATACTCCGGCAAGCCGTCTCGTACCAGCGGGGTTTAAGTGGCTCAGTGTATAATCTTAGGGTTCTCTGTGATTAACCAGGTGTGGAATGAAAAGCTTCATTCAAGTTTCAACAACACAAATTAACATGTTGGGATGGGGAGAAGATGTAAATTATTTTCCATTATGATGTTAAAAATATTATTAAATATCAGGATTACAATAATTTATAAATAATTAAAACGATAGTCTATTATTGTTACCGACTTGTCTCTGAAGGGTTTGAGGAGGCTCAGGCCCAGGGTGCAGCCTGAAACCACTGGCCAAGTCCAGAGAGACCCAGAGGTGGGAGACGGCCTCTCTCCACTCCCAGGCAGTCACGTGTAGTGTAGGGTGAGGACTCGACAAGGCTCGAGGCCCTGGTCTCCCCGGGAAGATGCCAGGCCTGACAGAGTGGCATCTCCCTCAGGCCCTGGGGCTGGTCCCCGTGTGTACAGTGAGCCCCCTTGTGGGGCTGGGGTACATGGACTGCATTGCGAGTCCTCCTCTGAGCGGCCCACGGAGCTGGTGCAACAAGGTCTGGGCACCCCGACTCTGTTGAGAGCCCCTGGCACCCGAGCGGGCGGGCAGGCTCCTGGGCTGCTCAGGGTGGTCACGCCTTGCCCCATCGCTCAGTGTTTAGTTCACTTTATGTTGGCTCCACTATGTACACACACACGTGTACATGCACGTGTGCACAGACATGTGGAAGCATGTACGTGTGAACGTGTGTGTGTGTTTGTATATATGGATGTGAACGTCGGTATACACAGGCTCAGGGACACACGAGACTCCCTCGGAGCGTGTCGATTTCCACACACGTCTTCTGCCACACCTGAGTATCCCAGACCCGGGGATGACTAGGACCACCTCAGCCATGACACCTGCTGGTGACTCAAACAACATGCTTCGCGTGGCTCTCCGGTCTGACCCTTCCCACCAGCCCGCCACTGCCCTGGGGCCTGGGCACAGTTCAGGCGAGCGAGACCAAACAGCGCAGGGGTGAGTCCTGGACTTGGCGGCGTGAGAAACATGCCAGGCACGTGTGTGCCTGAACTCCTGGGGAGGGAGGGACAGAGGAGAAGGCACTGTGGCATAACCACGGCCCATTGGGGTGTGATTTCTCCCCCTCATCCTCCCTGTGTCTCTCTCTGGCAAAAATAAAGGAAAACAAAATTTTAAAAGGCAGGAAGAGCATCGTGGCCGAGCAGCACCCCCGCTCCGCGGCCCCCCCTGCAGTGTGCCCGGCCCGGACGCTGTGAGGCCCAGGAGCACACCTGGCGGGGCATCCCCTCCTCCCAGCACATGACAGGAGAACTGAGCAAACCGCCCTTGAGGCCCTGGTGTGTCTGTGCCACCACCCCGGTCTACGGCGGGCCTTGCTGGGAGGAGGGCAGGCCGATGACCCCTCAGGAGCCTGACCACTCTGTTTGCCTTGTAGATGGCCCGGGGTACCGCAGTGCCCAGAAGCCCCTGGAAACTGACAGGAGAGAGGATGGTGGTGAGTGGGAGGGAGAGTCTGGATCCTGTGCGCGG